ATCAAACACTGTGGTTGTAACGGTCACGGAGCATGTTGTTCGGATAATTCTTGCCTGTTACTTGTAGAATGGGCGGGGTGGCGACGCGTTGTCGTCAAGATCGCACACGAAACCCCGACCTTTCTTTCCTTTCATCCTCCAAGCCACCCAGCCTGATCGAGTACGGTACCATTTTTATTCGGGTGGTGCGGGCCAATCGTCAACATGTGCTGGCTTGGCGACGCAACTGGCGCAGTAGTGTACGGTACCGTGTTTGATTGATAGACCGCTCGTTGGAGTGAGCTGGCTATTGTTGTTCGCTGGGGTGGATGTAATTTGCTCGTACTCGTGCTCTACTTGTGATTAGCCCTTTCAATCCGGCAATTAGTCCAAGCAGGATTACTGGATCTCCCGCCTATCCGATAATTTACTGTACTGTACCCGTACTCGCATTATTATAGGTGCCCGCCAGACCGGCGGTATCGATTAAGCCGCGAGTAATTACACGTACAGTCAGCGAGGATTACAAGTTGCTGTTATTTTGCATTGTACGAGTAATTCCAGGTTAGATCAGGGATGCCCCCGGGTGTTTTATCCATAGAGCGACAACTTCCAGTTGCATCGTACGAGTACGGGTTGTTGATACCGGTATGGTGGTACGGGGTCTATTTTTTGTTTCTGCAGCGGCCCGCGGAGGCGGAATATCACCTATCATACCTGGTTATCATAATTGCTTTCTCCCATTGGGAAGGGAGGCGCCCAGGATTTCATTCCAAAGGGTGTGGAGCGATTTTTTCTGATCCCGAGAAAAGCTCGATGATAAACTTTCTCTAGGGAGAAGTTTATATAAGATCATCTGTGAATCCTCCAAGTAGCGTCTTGGTTGGTCGTACTCGTACTCAGTTTGGCCGTTCACCGAGTTGGAAATTCAACCAGTATCTCGTCTAACTCGCTTGAGCCATCACAGACAGAGTGCAGAATTTTTAGACTAGACCTCATTCCCCACCCCCGCCTTATCACCGCGAACAAAGTTATAGGGAATTGCGGGGATAAGTACGCGGTGGTAACCACGTGTTACAGAATGATAGGGATGAGGGTGGTATGGAACGAATTTCCAGGTTTTTTTTGGGGGGGGTGTTTACGAGGGTATCCTGCATCGGAATCTCGAGAACAATATCCGTCTGTCGCTATCGCAGGGGAGAGCAGGATCCTTATCCGTGTTTCTTTTGTCGTCAGGTGTCAGAGTCGGGTTGGCGATCAGATTGTAGCCTGTTATAGTGATGGTGGGTGGGGGGGGGGTAGCTGTTTAGTCTGTACTAGTATAGCTGTGTGAGAGATCGCAATTTTTGTGGTTACTGCTGGACCCATCGAGACGTAGTTAAAGCCATTGACGAAACCACAAGCCACTTGGACACCCCGCCCATTCGGATAGGTGCTAATTGGTTGATCCCCTACTGCGTATGGACCACCTACGAGTACTGTACCGGTACGAGTATCTCTTCAGTTGCGCTATTTCATCACGTTTACCAAACTTTCCTATTCAAGTTTAGTCGTCCGGGTGAGGGGGGCGTCCGGGTGGCTTGTGGTTTCGTCTACTGAAGTATGCTTTAAAGGTCAGCGATAACTGTATTGCTAATCATTGAATGCGATAGGTGCCACATCGTGAGACAGTCCCGGAAAGTCTCAACAAAACATGGGGTGGCCCTTGAATGCCGCTCCAGGAACTCTGGGGCGTCTGCTATCACAACCGGTGCAACGGAACTTTATGAAATATGACACCTCCTCTAGGTCTGATAATGCTTGTAGGTAGCTGTACTAGTACGGTAGGAAAAAAGAGTCAAGTGAGCACAAGTTGTAGGCAATAAACACCGAGCGCAGGGATTAAACGAGTGCGTGGTGGATAACCTGTGCGTGTTTGGATGTCCATTCTAAGCCCATAGTCCGGTATTCAGGCACTTCTTGTCACAACCTGTAGACTCAAGTACAGTATGTTGACCCGGGTTTGGTAATCTTAAAAGTACTGTACCTGGTATCATAAGTGGCTAGGATTTGGTTGGCATCCTACCGTCAGGAGTGAATATTCGGTGCTTTAACAGAGGGGGCTGGGGTTAATTTATGCGAACGACCCAGAACCCATCAGTCATTTCCCGTAATCAAATAAGGTGGACCCTCGGGGAGAGGACAAAGAACTCCCCGAAGGAAATTGAACGGGGTTGGTAGGGCTCTCTTACTCCCCCCCCAGTGTTCGGGAGTTGCTGGCCTCCAGCGCTGATTTACGGAATATCATAGCTGGCGGAATAGAAGGGAACGATCCACAGGAACACGATGGAGCGTGGAGAGTTTGCGCAAAGAGACCTAGGGGGGTAGGAAAAAGAGTTATTTCGAGTGACCCTAAAAGTGTTGGACTCCTGGGTGGGAAGCGAGAGCTGGGAGTTAGTGTAAAGTGTCAGCTTTTTGGTCTGGACAATTTTGATACAGTATATGCAAAACGTCAAGTCAACCACGAATACTAAACAAGAGCCAAGCCGGAAAGCACGGAAATAGACTAGGCTACTCTAAATCCCTTCGACCCTAAATTTGCTCTCTTAATGCTTCCCCGTCTCCTCAATCGTCCCAAGCGGCTTCGTATCTCGAGTATTATACGGTGCGCGGTTTCTGCAAAAAGCGCTAGGGTCACCGAACCCATCGCTTGTGTAAAAAAGTGTGGGGCGAGTAAATTACTCGTAACGTCGTTGCACCCCCTAAGAGATTAGAGATTCCTTACTAAAGAAATTGCTTATCGCTGGGAGAAAGTTGCCTTTAAAGGGAGGAATTTCGCAGGGGGTGCAAGCTCGTACGAGTAGTAGGAGCGGAACGACTCTGTTATCTGTTTGACTGGTGGGATGGTGGAAAGTATTATGCCACCCCTATAATATTGAATTTAAGCTCATCTCGTTGCCTAAGACACCAGCTACAGTAATAGGCAACGTTCGTTAATTACCACAAATTTGCAGTAGTGCAAATCTTCTAACCATAGCTACTATTAACCGTGTCATTGTGGCTACGCACATTCTCACTGAAGAATACTGAGGCAGCACCTTAGTCATCTCATCCTTAGATAGGAGAGGGGTTTATTCAATAATAGCCGAAGGTTGTTTATCGGGGGGCTGTCTTGTGACTTGTAGATATTCCGCGCGATTGTCCCCGCGATGTACTGTACTGTACTGTACGTAGTACTCATACTGATTCTATTTGAGTACTCGAGTGTCGTCACCCAGCTGCCAAACTACCTAGTCTACACCTCTTGCGCAGACCTACTCGTATTCTTGCACTTAACTGCCACTTAACCGTGTCTAGGTTCCTCCCGATTATGTAACACCGGTACCGCACTCAAGTACAGTACTTGCGCTGCGTACAGTACACAGATCGTCCCGGTATTTGAGAAATGCAGCACAGCATCAAGAGGCCAGCGTACTTTACAGTACTGTAGACTACCTTCTTCACCACACCCCATTTCCGGCCAAAAAAAAAGAAAACAAGCACCACTTCATTAGCGTTACATCACAACCTATTCAAGTAGGTAGAGATATTTTGGAATACCGTACTCGTACCGTGGAAACTCTTGAAATCCACTGCCCGGCCAGTCCTGTAATCGCCCGACTCGGATACGGAGGCTCCTGGGAAGGGTCAGCATCTTCCTAGCACGGTATGGATCAGCCCACCGGACGTGTTGGATTTCATTAACAGGTATCCGCAATCAAAACTTTTCTTGGGCCGAGGACCCTATTTCCGCTGCTGATCTGACGGCGGACTTCAAGAGCTTTTGCGGTATGATACTGTACGGTACAGGTCTTGACGATGGGAGGCCACCATCCAGGACAACGGTCGCTATCGATTCCTCCCCAATATCCGTACCGGTAAATCGTCTGTGGAAGAAAAATACCGGTGCCCGAACACAAGGGATTAGAAGAAAAAACATTTGGCCAGTCACGCGTGCCTATTTTTCACGGGAATGGGGTGGTGAATTTTGGACAGTACCGTGCTTGTACCGGTACCTAGGGGGCTGAGGTGAGCACGGGCTTTTTACCACATTCTGCGCGAATCCCTGTCTACGGAGATTTGTGGAGAAAAGCTTTTCCATGCCATCCGGAAAAACAGAAACCTTTGTAATAACAATAACGTCCTTGGCAATGACATTCCCAAAAACACCAATCGCGTACCGGTACCGATAGTAACTGGTACGTGTAAATATTTCTCTGGCCTGGATCCAGCGAGGAGAATCGTGGAAATCAGATAGGGCCAAAAAAAACCCCCCAAATTGTAATCAGGGGCAAGTGTCGATTTTTTGCCATATTTATATGCCGAAAGACTCAATCCCCGGCGCGCTAGCTCGCTTGGGTTGATTTGTTATTAAACCTTCAAGATGGTAGTGGTACTGTACAGCACACCCTTCTCGTCTGACACTCCCATGCCTTGAATAAATTTAGTTCTCCCCATCGGAATGTCTTATCCGAGCCACAAATATTCGCCTTTAAAAATGGAGGAACCGTAGCTACGTTTATCTTTATGTGTGAGAATATTTAAAGCGGTCTTCGCTCGTCACAAACTTTTACTGTTCTTTTGTTGCTTGGCGGACGGGCAGGTCTTGGCCCGTGATGTTATTTAAAGGCTTTTTATTTTTCCGGGGGGGTTATTGGAAAGGTTTTCTTGTACCTCCTGCCTGCTACGAATGCTCGTTTGGTACTGTACAGGATAGTAATATGCCGGTTCGGAGTTCATGCCTGTGAGACACCAAAGGTGCTTGTAGTGGTCCATATCCTTGGTGCTGTGTTCAGTTGTGCCTGACTAGAATATGCCCCGCCCCTTCTGCGGCTGCTAATATGGCACCGTTTGGGAAAATGATTTGCCGCTTCCTGGGAAACCCGTTTTTGTGGGATGCGTTTCCTTCCGGTAGGGGAATTGGGGAGTAGCAATTCATACATAAGGGGTATTCTCCCGCATTGGACCACCTTTGTTTCTCCTAACCTCCATCCCAGGGTCGCCCATCTTCGACAACCCATTAATCTTGGACCTGGCGGAGAACGAAGACAGCAGCCGCGGAAATCGGTGACATTCCTTCCATTTCGAAAAACCCTCCCTTTTACTTGGCTCCTTGGAAATTCCATTCCATGATGTTCTCGAGAAACCCTCTTTTCTATCTTTTGGCTGTGTTCGGTGCGCGTGCGTTCGCTCTAACTACTGCTACCAGCCCAAACAGCACCTCAACCGCCACCGCCAGCGGCCCGGGCTCTACTCTTGTAAATCTTGGCGAGTTTGACTACATTGTTGCTGGTGCTGGAGCCGCAGGTCTTGTCGGTATGTACTCTGAACTATGAGCGCATCCCAGAAGAATTTCCCAACTAATGATATATAGCCGCCGATCGTCTCTCGGAGGCCGGTAAAAAGGTCCTTCTCATCGAGAGGGGCCCCCCATCGACATATGCCACTGGCGGTAGGCTTGGGCCAGCTTGGCTTAACGGAGAGAATCTCACCCGTTTCGACGTACCCGGTCTTTTCAATCAAATCTGGGTTGACTCTGCGGGAATTCGATGTGACGACATTGACCAGATGGCCGGGTGTCTTCTTGGTGGTGGTACCGCTGTCAACTCCGGTCTCTTTTTCAAGCCTCAATCCATCGACTGGGACTACAACTTCCCGGCCGGTTGGAGGGCAAGCGACATGGCTTCTGTGACCGACAAGGTCTTCACCCGGATCCCGTCCACCGATATCCCGTCCACCGATGGTATCCGTTACCTCCAAGAACCATATGACCTTATTACCAAAGTCCTCTCCGCTGTTGGGTACACCTCTGTCACTGCCAATGACTCTCCCAACAAGAAGAACCGCACTTTTGCCCACACTCCATTCATGTACTTTAATGGCGAGCGCGGTGGTCCATTGGCGACCTACTTCGAGACCGCCAGGGCGCGCTCCAACCTTCACATTGTGCTCAACACCACCGTACGCAGGGTTATCCGTAAGGGCGGGCGCATTACTGGTGTTGAAGTGGTCGCTACCTCCTCGGATGGTAAGACCGGTCTCTACTCTGTCACCCCGAACACTGGAAAGGTCTTGCTTGCCGCCGGTGCCTTCGGGTCGCCAAAGATCTTGTTCCGTAGCGGTATCGGCCCCCGCGATCAGCTCGAAGTTGTCAAGGCAAGCGCGACCGACGGTTCCACAATGATCGATTCCTCAAAATGGATCAAGCTCCCTGTCGGCTATAACCTCCAGGATCACCCGAGTACCGATGTCGTCATCAGCCATCCAAGCGTGAAGGATTATGACTTTTTCGCAGCCTTCAACAACCCCATACCCGCAGACCGGGACCTCTATCTAAACAGCAGAGCTGGCATCCTCGCCACCGCAGCGCCTGGTCCAAACACCATGTTCTGGGAGTCCTTGGTGCCATCCGACGGAATCCCCCGCCAATTCCAATGGACCGCACGTGCCGAGGGTTCCATTAACGAGAAAGGGGACACACTCGTCACGGCGAGCCAGTACATAGGCACGGGCCTGAAGTCTCGCGGACGCATGACCATAAACTCGGACTTGAACATGGCCGTCACGACAAGCCCGCACCTGAACGACCCTTACGACATCGAAGCCGTAATCCAGAGCGTCCAGTTGTTCGTGGATGCACTTTCGGCGGACAAAAGCATCACCATATTACATCCTGCTCCTGGTCAATCGGTCGCGGAGTACGTTAATAACTACCCCGGCCACCGGGGTACCAATCACTGGATCGCAACCTGCAAGATGGGGACCGATGATGGAACAAAAGGAAATGGAACGACTGGGTCTGTTGTTGACACTGATACAAAGGTCTATGGCACTGATAACTTGGTAACTATCTCCAAACCCACGCACAATCACCACTCGCGGTGCACTATAAAGCTGACCATTGTGGATAGTTCGTGATCGATGCATCCATTTTCCCAGGACAAATTACCGCAAACCCAACCGCGTCAATCATGATTGCGGCCGAAAAGGCCATTGAGAATATCCTGGCACTGAAGCATGGCTACTAGGGTATTTACCCCCCCGTCTTGGCTATTCATGAGGAGAAGGCTAACGAAAACAGTACCAACAATGTGGCGGCACAAACCGGTCAGGAGCGGATGCTTGTGAGGGCCCGTACCTCCCCCACCATCCGAGACGCTTTTTTGTATGTAAAGAGGGTGGGGTGATTTGCGTTTTCGCAGTATATAGTTTGTTTTACTTGTTTGGGGTTCGGGAAATTTTCCATCCGAACCATCAGATGGGATGGTTCGGAGGGGGCTTGTCCTCGCCCTTGTTGAAATGAAATGTTGTATCAATCCGGCCGTCCAGGAGTGTCCTTTTTGGTGATGTGCGATTATGCTTGGGGTAGCTCTCGGGAGTTGTTGGGTGGTTTTTGGGTGACCACTCTGGGAACATGTGTATCAAACGGTGGGAAGGAAGGGGTGAAATGTAGACCCGCTGCTCTATGCATGAAATCATGGTAGAGATCCTCCCAGCTCGTCAATGAAACCCGAAGAATCGCTTCATCCCGTCACCCACAATCACTCGATCTTCACGCGCAGTAGTCAAGCACTTGGCAGCCGTCTCACATAAAAACCGTGGCAAGCAACCGAGAAACTATATTCCAAATGTCCGACAGCTCCAATGGAGCCTGCCAACCGAGTGAACTCCCCCCTCCCCCCTCCCTGCCGGTCAGAGCGATGGCAGTACCAAGTATCTCCCCCAACCCGAAGATTGAAGATCCACAACCCGGCTGCCCTTTCACTCGCTCACGGGCTTGACCTCGGGAAGGGAAAGAAAAGCATTGAATGACATTCCCTTCCCTTCTTACGCACTACATCGCCTTGCCCCTGCACTTATGACCACTCAGCGAGGAGATTCCCCGGGGCTCTGCAGGAGGGATGAAGGGATCTGTGAGTCTATACCGCTGATAACACGCGCTAAATCACACGTCCGCGAAGAAGAAGCGTTGGGGAAATAATTTAAGGAATTTGTCTGCTACGGTTTTAGCAGTTCTGAAGTAGTTGGCTTGGATGGGGATGGCATGAACTAGGATAGTGTACTCGTAGTGTTCGTTATTCACGTGTTTGAAGGTCTGGTGGAGTGTGCACGTGTAGACTAGACCGATTCCCTGCGAATTATTTTGCTCGTGGCTCTAACACCTTTTTTCTTGTCAGGACGGGACTTATAGATGGATATCCTAACCGTGGTATCTACTCGAACGGGGGGTTTTTCATGTTTACCCCTTATGCCATCTTCTATATTTTCTCTTCTCGAAGAATGTTTTTTTTATGTATATATCATATCCGATATTGAAGTACGAGTGTACTCGTAGAACTCGTACTGTACAGTGCGACAGTGTAGTTATCCGACGTTATCTCTTAGGAGCGATTACTCGTTCCCCAGGTGAGGTCCGCGGGATAATTACCCGGAAGGGGTAGTCAAAATTTGGGGGAAATTCCAGCAGCTAGTGTACTGTACTCGTATATCGAAGTAATTGGTAGGAACCCAATAAATTTAGTTGGTCGATTTGGATCCTGCTCTAGACGAGGTTTCCTGTCTGGCTTGGTGGTTGCCGTATGGCGTTGGGAGATGGAGTTCTTGGCATTTTCTTTAGTTGGCTTTGGGTGGAGGGTCTTGGCATGGGGTGGTATGATAGTCTAGGGATATACACGTAAGTGGGGAGGGTGTCTTATGGTACTGTTAAGGGAGAATATGGGCATGGCATGGAGTTACGTGTCTCAACATAGGGAGGAAGTTTCGTCATCCGTGCTGGGAGCACTATGGGTAAGGGGAAGACTCCTTTTATATAGTTAAATTAGTTTAGAGATAACCGGTAGAGAAAAGAAGAAGAGAACACATCCGTGGACAGGAAATGGAGCCTTTATGTTTATGAGGATTTCTGTACTCGCGCCCGTGATCTTTTGAACTCATCAAGTTTCCATCTCTACTATCGGGAATAGCTCTTGTTCTTCCCACTCCCTTCGGCTCTCCTGTCTCCGGGCCTATCCAAGTTTGTTTCCCGTTTGGTAGAGAAGGCTAAAGATAGGTGAGAACACACTCCCTTAACAAACCGAACAGCAATCACTTTCCGCATACAGGAGGATTGTGTCCAGTTGCCTCTAAGATCATTAGATTTCCTTACTGCCAATCCCCGAAAAGAACGCCTTGGTAGACACGGCCATTCACAGTACTGTGCTGAGGGGTGTCATACCCGGTGGGAGAGAGGGGGAAGAAGAAAAGTACAAGAGTTATCGATAGGGGAAAGAAAAACCATTCCAATGTGGCGCCAATTACAATTTCTGACACCCCGTTGTGGGTTTTTTTTCTCCAAGTTAAATTAGTTGGCGATAAAGACAGCGGGTTCCGGGATTGGAGTTGACCCCCATAGCACATCTTCATTGCAGAACCGAGCGTGCGTCTCGAAGCGAAAGGGGTCCAGTGTGGATGTCTACTTCTAGCGGGAGATCCGACACCCGTGAGTCTGGACTTCCGCCGAATTCGCGCGAGGATTCCACCTTACCTCATTTCCTTACCAAGACCACATCTTGATAATAATCGGGGTATCATGGTTATTTCTAGTCTGGATTTCCTTGCCCCTCTGGAAAAATTGGGTAGAAAAGCATGGCAAGGGGTGGGTCCTTAGATTGCGGTGTTGGACAAAGTGAGGATGCAGCTTATGGTTCAATCGCTTGGGGATTCTATCATATCGTGCTGGTGCTCGAAGTGGTGCTTGCAGGGCTGGCGCTGTGCGGAATTTGCTGTATGGCTGGATGGTTTTGGGGAGGGCGGGTTTGTGTTGGGTTGGGTTGGAGAAGTAGATTTTCCCCAGAAAATACAAGAGCGTGGTAATCACCTAAAGAGAGGGATGAATTCTTTTCTTTTCTTTTTTTTCGGGGGGGGGGAACAAATCTCTCTGGGTGCTCCGTCTAGCCATTTGAACCAAAAAGGTCCCCACAAAATCCTAGGGATCTAGACTTTCCTGCATCTTCCTTGGGCTCTTCCAGATCATGTTCCATCACTCGTTTCATTACCGCAGCTCGAGGTTATTGCAGCTATCATACATTCTACTAATCAGCGGAATAATTGAGGACGGCCACTGAGAAGCGCTCTACCGTCGAATATATTTACCAGGTATTTCCTCCGTCATCCGATTACTTGACGCTAGTCGCACCCACTATCAGGGGATTCACCAAAATATAATTTCAAATATCATACCTAGTATCACCTTTACCAATTCTGAAGAAAGAAAATAAAAACGCAACAATCAAATCTAAAAAGATGTTCTAAAAATCCCACCACCCCTATGTTCTAGCATCACCCTGCCAACTCTAATGGAATCTACCCGTTGAGTGACTCCAATCATTCATTCATTCATTCACTCTAGCCCCAGCTTCAGGAAGAAAAGAAGAGAATGGCCTGCTTTGCCTCTCTTATACCCTGCCGCACCCTGCTCCTTTACCCGTTCCTGAGTCGCGCCGTAAACGTCCTTCAAATTCAAACTGTCTGTCATTGCCCTGAGCCTTTGTTGCCTACCGTAAGCTGTGGTTTCCCTAAGGGCAGCGTCCACAGTTAGGGAAATTAGAAGAAATCTAGATGTATTTCTTAGTGACAAATGTAGAATATCCCTCGATGATGTTGCTCGCTTACCTTTCTGGGATACTCTCAATAGTTGATTTGATGATTTCGGCCTCTAAGCCGCTATCCATCACGTCTAGAGATGTATCGTCTAGTGATGTATCGTCTAGTGATGTATCCTTACCCAACCTCATCCGGATATATTCCACAATATCGTAGCTGTTTTGTTTTCCACGTGCAGGGACTATCCGAGGAGAGGGGCACGAGAAGGGGGGATGACGAGCGTTGGCCATGCGCAAATGGGACACGAGCCGGAACACCGATGCCTGCGAGATTCTCCTAAGCACTCTTACATCTACACACCTTGGACAATTAAGCCTACCTATCCCATGAATTTCAGAGCACCGTTCCAGGAAACCGGTTAATCAAAAGGGGCTGTTTGGGCGATCCTTCTAGACCGTTTAGCTAGTATGTTATCTGCTGTTTTCGAAATTGTAGAGATATGAATGTGGGAATATCAAGAAGTGAGAAGTGAATTGCATAAAAAGGTGCCGGCGTGAGGTTGAATGTGGGTTGGAGGATATTTCTGTACCTGGTAGGGTGTTTACCCTCATGGTAACCTTTCTATGTATGATAGGCGGCTTGGCATACAAATTGTTTGCCATTTAAGCTGCAGCACCTTCCTTGCTTAACACAGAGAGGGAGAGCTTCAGTCAACACAGGCATAGTCAACATCGCCCCTCCACCTCAAGTGGATGCGGTGCTATCTCCTTTTGTACCTTCTGTTCCACTTTAGTTACACGACGGATCTGCCAGCCAATTTACACAGAGCTATCGTAGGCCGTATCAGAGTACCATTGGAGGGATAATATCAGAGGGTACCGGCGTAATCGATACACCATCCGACAAAGGGAGAGTCATAAAATAATTCCCACACCGGTATGGCGAAGTCTTGGCCGCTAAACAAATAATAATATGAGCCTGTCTCAGTAGAAAACCCACTCTCGGGCCACAATGACAAATAATTTATTTAAGCTTAGCCAACTAGCTAGACATCTAGAGTATATGTTCAGTAGCTCAGAAAATATTATTTGTCACCTAATGACCTCTGTAGTACATTTTATGCAGGAAAAACTGAAATTTTGAGATTTTCACTTTTTGCCATGTAAAATAAGTTTTGCTCTCTGGGATTCTTGTGGTCAAAGAATTATTACAAAAAGTTTATTCCTTGCTGCACTATTTCTGTTTCATGTTGGTTGCATATATTTTCAATAATTGTATTTCTAACACTACTGTTACATGCGACCAATAGATTGTGCTTATATAATATGAGTGATATGTTATGATGGATGTAGTATTAGTTAAACTACAGTGAAAATGTAACAAAAGGTATTGTTTTACTATGAGTATTAACTTAATGATCAATTAAACATTTACTCAAAGTTAATTTAACTTTTGTAGATATGATAATTCATGTCAAATTACCATAATACTACTTGCTTTCTGTAACAGAATTACCTGAGTGAATGATAGCTTGGTGATAGAGATCCAACAACCCTTCACGACAGCTACAACAATGTCAGAGCTATTGATATCATCAAATGAGTCAGCCTCCAGCTGTAATTCAATCGCAAATGAAGAATATGTATGGGAAAATGAGACAGAGATTGAGTATGAATCTGAGTATGAAGAGATGGAAAGCATACATAGTATGTATACTATCCAATTATAAAAAGCGATTT